CCCGTGTTCGCCGATGCCAGCCTGGTCTCGGATGCCCCCTCAACAGTACTCTCTCAGCAGCGAGGCCGGCCCCGAGGGCGGGTCTCCCGCGGCAGATGCCACGGAGGATGCGGCCGGCAGCCCGGTGCTGGCCGGTGCGCCGTCTGTTCCGGCCTCGCCGCTTGGTGCCACCGGCCCGGGCTCCGGCGGGCGGGGTGCCACCGGCAAGCAGGACGCCTCGCTGGAGGCCTCTCAGGCCTTTGCCGACCTGCTGGTCCAGTGCACGGATGCCGAGTCGGATGCGATCATGGTCTTCCGGGACCTGTGCCGTATCACCATGCGCGGGACCATGCCCCTGCCGCCGTCCGTCTTGGGCGGGGTTCTGCGTCTGTCGGAAGACCCGCCCATGGCCGACTATGTGGCCCTCGTGGAGCATGCCGGCAGCGGTGGCCCAGACGACGAAACCGCCCCCGGGACCCTGGCCGGTCAGACCACCGAGTCCCTGCGGACCCTGGCACTGGACCTGCTCCGGCAGATCCTCGACTCGGCACAGCTCATCAGCCCGGGCCCGGAGTTCCACCTGTCCGCGACGGACATCCTGCCGGTGCCCGGGTCCAGTGCCCTGCTGTCGGGCCTTTGCCGGGGCACTTTGGCCGAAGTGTGGGCCGGCTTGCGGAGCGGCCCCCATGGCGGGCCGCCCCTGCCGGATCTGCGGGCGCTTCTCTGCACGGCGGCCATCCCGGTGTGGCGTCCCTCGCCCGCGGCGCAGACCCTTCTGCTGGATTCGGTGCGCGATTGCCTGGTCCCGGCTTTGGCCCGCCATGCCGGGCACATTTCCCACTCGGCAGCCATCCCCCCCTGGCAGGCCACCTCCAATGCCCAGGGGCTCGGGCCGTCCATGGCCCATGTGGCCCTGACGGCCATCGAGGCCGGGGATCTTGGCAGCGTGGCTGGCCGGCACATGCCCGGCTCGCAGCTGGCCCCGCCGCATGTCCTCCAGGGCGCCTCGCCCGGGGCCGGTGATGGGCTGCTGGTGCCGGGCCGGGACCCGGTCTTCGAGGCGCCGGCCGGGCCGATGGCGCTGCAGCGCGGCGCCGCCTGGACCGTGCACGCCCCGCACGCCGATCGCTTTGTCCTTTCGCTGCACATCTTCCACAGCCTCATCAGCCGGTGGTTCCCGGTGCTCAGTGTGCGTGCTGGCGCCCATGTTCCTGCGCTTCTCCCCTCTTTTCTTTTTTTTCCTTCGGCCCCTCTCCCTCCCCCCTGCCCCCCCCCCCCCCCCCCCCCCCCCCCCCCCCCGCCCCGCCCGCCCAAGGCTGGCCCGCCCGCGTCTCTCGATCGACCAGCCCCCACTCTTCCTGCACCACGGCTCTCACGGCCCCACTCTTACCCCACAGGCGCCACGCTTCGACCCAAGCTATACCCGGAATCATCCTACTGGTTAGGGACCGCTCGGGCATGAAGGAGGGCCTACAAAACCAGAAGGGCCAGCTGATGGCTCGGCAGGTGTCCTTCTTCCTGTGCGTTATCTTTTTGTTGGTGCCCCTTTCCCGGCTCTGTGTCGGTGTCGGTGTCGGTGTCGGTGTCGGTGTCGGTGTGAGTGTGGCTGCCAATGCCAGTACAGCTGCCGCTGCTGGTAGCGTCCCACTCACTTTCTATGGGAATAAAAAATGATGGCCCTGTTCTTTCTTGCCTGCCCCCCCCCCCCCCCCCCCCCCCCCCCCCTCCCGCACCCACGCTCACACATGCCTTGCTCTCGGGACGGGGGACCCGCTTGCCGCGCCCTTCCCGGCCGGCCACCATAACCCTGTAGGACCCCTGCCGTGCGCTCTTTTCGCATCTGCTCTTTGCGCCGTTGACCACATGGCGCAGCCCGCCGGCCCCCCTGCGCCGGGCCATCCTGGACTCGCTGTTTTTGGTGATCTACGCCTGGCCCGGGCGCCTGGTGGATTTCTATGCCAACTTCGATTGCAGCGATCGGCTGATGGCCGCCGACTCGTTGGTTTTCTCGCGCCTGGTTCTCATCCTGCGCGGGGTGGCCCTCGGCGACCTCGGCCGGAATGTGGCCGCGCGTGGTCTCTTCGGCGCGGGCCTCTCGCCGGCCGGGGTGTCCCTGCGGGCCATGGCCGCGGCCGACGGCAAGTCCGGCTCGGGCGGCGCGGCTTCCGGCCCGGGGGGGTCCCTCCGCCTGACCGGTCGCACGGCATCGCAGAATGTCGCCGCCGAAGCGGCGGCCGCCGCGGCGGCGGCCGCTCCCCCGGCCAGCGCCTCCGCCTCCGCCTCCGAGCATGATGACCATCCGCATGCCGGTGAGGAGCTGACTGCCTCGCAGGTTCAGCTGCTGGTGCAGGCGGCCGGCGCGGCCGCCACCGAGGGCACCCACTTGCGCCTGCGCGCGGTCGAATGTCTGGTTGCCCTTGTTTCGGCGCTGGCCGTGTGGCAGCGCCGGCAGTTCCAGGACCTGGAGGCCGGCATCGCCCCGAGTGCGTCGGCGGCCCCTGCGGCCCAGCTCGCGGCGGCCTTCGATCGCAAGCGACGCCTGCTGGCCGCGGTGGGGGTGCTGAATCGGTCCCAATCGCGCGGGCTGGCGGCCCTGACCCGGCCTTCGTACCCGGATGGCCGGGCTCTGCTGGCCCCGGTGTCGGAAGACCCGCGCGGCTTCGCGGAGTTCCTGTCCCGCGCGGCGGCCGGCAATGGCTGCGCTCCGCGCTATGTCCAGGGTGTCGGTGGTGCGGCGTCGGCCCTGTGCAAGCGGGTGCTCGGCGAGCTGCTGAGTGACGCGTCGCCGGCCCTCGGCGGCCTGCTCGGGGCCTTTGTCGCGGACCAGACCCCCTCCATGAGTGGAGTTCCCTTTGTGGATGCCCTGCGCGGCTTCCTGCAGCCCTTCCGCCTGCCGGGCGAGGCCCAGCGCATTGATCGCATCATGCTGGCCTTCGCCGAGCAATATTACTCCTCGAATGCGGCCCTGGCCAAGGAGCTGGCGGCCGAGGCGCGCCCCGGGACCCCGGCCGGCCGGGCGTCGGCCATCAACTCCAATGATGCGGCCTACATCCTGGCCTTCAGTGTCATCATGCTGAATGTCGACCTGCACAGTCGCCAGGTGAAGAAGCGCATGTCCCTGGACGAGTTCATCCGGAACAACCGCGGCATCAACACCGGCGGCACGGACCTGCCGAGCTGGTTCCTGGAGGAGGTGTACCAGGACATCCGCCAGCGTGAGATCGTCATGGAGCCGGCCACCACACATCTGGGTACGTGCATCTGACCCGCTGCCCCTCGGCAGGCCAGCCACATACACATGCATGCACGCGCGCACGGAGGGGCCCGGGCCTTTGCGCCGGCCTCGGGCCTGCCTCTCCGCCGCTTGGTCCTCCGCCTTCCGCCCCCGCCCATGCCCTCTTCACGTTGGCTCCTCGCTGTTCCCCCCTTGCTCCCGGCTGACGTGCCCGTCCATCCATCGGCAATGACGCAGACATCACCTCCTCGGCCGAGGCGGGCGCCCCGCCGCGCGCGGCCGCCGATCCGCTCTTTGCGCGGGACATGTTGGACTTCATTTGGCCGAGCCTCCTCCGGGTGGCGTATGTCGGGTGTGGCGTCCTGCCGCCCCAGTCTTCCTTCCTGGCTCTGCCCGCTGCCGGGCCGGATCCCACGGGAGCCGTGCTTCTGGAGGGCATGTGGCCGGCGGAGCTGCTGGGCGACGGGCTGAGCCAGCGCGGCGCGCCGGTCTCCGGCTCCGAGGCCCTGTGCGCCCTGAATGAGGCGGCCTCCTCCATGGCCTTCTCCATGTCCACGCTGGCCATTCAGCTGTCCGCTCACAATGGCCTGCATGTGAGCCTGGCATCGTGGATCCGCGCCCTGGCCGGGGCTACGGGCTGCTTGCCGGCGCTGCAGCAGGCGGTGGCCACCATGCCGGCCGCTCAGGGCGCCCCGGCGGCCGGACTGCCGCCGGCTCCGCCGGGTGCCGCCGCCGCCGTGGCAGCCGCCGCCGCCGCCGCCACCTCGCCGGCTGTCCTGTCCTCGTCGACCTCGACCCCGGAGCACCCGGCCCAGTCGTCGGACCCGGCGGCCGGGCCGCCAGCCGCCTCGGTCGTTGACAGTGCCTCTCGCACGTCCCTCGCGTCGGTGGGGTCCTCCTCGCATGACCATGAGGCCGACACGATCTCGCTGGCCAACTCGATCGGCGGCGAGTCGCCCACCGCCCATGCGCCGGCCGAGGAGGACCATCTGGATGTGACCACCGCCGAGTCGCCCACCGGGGGGGACTTCGGCCCCGAGGTCGGGGCCAATGGCGATGCCAAGTCGCCGGATCGCGCCTCCTTCACCGGGTCCATGGATCAGGCCCTCGCATCGCAGCAGGCCCCGGCGGCCGGGGCCGCGGCGCCGGTGGACAGTGCCGCGCCGCGCACCCTGTCGGCGCTGTTCACGCCGCCGGTGGCCAGCGGTGCCCCCTCGACGCCAGTGGCCCAGCGGACGGCCTCTGCCCCGGGGGCAGGCACCCCCGCCACCGTGGCCCGGCGCCGGCCCAAGCGCCCCTTCACCCCGACGAACCTCGGCGTCCGCAATGCCCGGGCTCTGATTGCCCTGCTGGATTGCGCTCGCGCCGAGTTGGCCGGCAATTACCTGGACCAGCTGGAGTGGCGCTTCATCGCCATGTGCCTGTCGGCCGCGCTGCGGTTCATCAACCGCTCGCAGAACCAGCTGGTTGCTCGCCAGACGCCATTGGCCTTGGGCGATGTGCCGGCCGAGGAGGCCCTTCTGGACGACCTGGGCCTGGCCTCGGACAAGTTCCTCTCCAACAGTGTGTCCCTCTCGATGGTGCGTGTGTTCGGCTGCTTGTCTTTCCTCCTGCTGGCCGGTCGCGCCTTTCTCCGCCTGCCCCTCCCCCCCCCCCCCCCCCCCCCCCCCCCCCCCCCCCCCCCCCCCCCCCCCGCCCGATGGCCCGGTTGGTGCCAACGGGTCTTGGTGATGGACTGACCCCGGAATGCCCGACCCCCCCCCCTCCCCTCTGCCCTCCTCTCGGCGGCGGCTCATCTCCCGGCAGCCGGCCGTGGAGATGCTGTTCAACAGCATGATTCGCGTGTCGAAGCTCGAAATCGACGACGTGCTGACCCTCACCCGGCAGGAGGTCTCGCTGTCGGCCCCGGAGGCGGTTCCGCTGTCGCTCCTGTCGCTGGAGAATGTGGTCATCCTGGCCCTGAACAACCTCCTGGCGCGGAGCATGGTCACCGGCGAGTCGGCTCGGTCGCAGCAGGTGCCGGTCCCGGCGGCGGTGGCCCTACGCGGGGCGACCCCGGCCCCGGCCTTCCCGGCCACCGGCGCCTGGGACCCCACCGGTGCCTGGCGCAGCTTGTGGAAGCCGATCGGCTTGCACTTTGAGCGGTCCATTGTCACGGCCCTGACGGTGGTGGTGCAGACGGGCATCAGCACGCCGCCTCCGCCGGAGCCGGCCGCCGGGCCCACCTCTGGCAGTCGCTCCGGCGGGACCCTTGGCCGAAATGCCGGTGGCACGGTCGGTCGCAATGCGGCGGCGGCGGCGGCCACGGCCGGTCCTCCGCCGACCGCCATCCAGGCGGCCCGGCTGCTGGCCGCTCGTGCTCGAACGGTGGCCCACCTGCTGGTGGACAGCCTCCGGCGCCTGGCGACCAAGCTCCTGCCGCGCGAGGCGGGCCTCTTCCCGGCGGCCATGGCCTCGGCCACGGACTTCGTGGCCGGCGAGTCGGCCCTGGCCGCCATGGCCGCGGAATTGGCCGGCAGCGAGTCGGCCCTGGCCCAGGAGGTGGCCGGCTTCCTGGCGCGCGGGGCGGCGGCCTCCCCCGGGGGAAGTGTCGCTCCGATCACCGGCACCGGTGCCGCCGCCGATCTGGCCACCCTGCCGGGGTTCATCCAGGCGGACTTGGCCCTGGGTGGCTTCCAGGGCCAGCTGCTGGCTCCCTTTGCCAATGCCTTCCTTTACCGGCTGCCCTTCTCCACGGCCGGGTCGCTGTTGAACCCCTCCGGCGGGGGCCGTCTCGCGCTGGAGTCCCCCTCGGAGGGGGACGACCTGTCGGCCACGGCGGTCAGCGGCCAGCCGCTGCACTATCGCCCGGCGGCGCACGGCCAGCTGGCCTACTCGTCGCTGTCGTCGCTGGCGGCGGCGGCCTTCTCCGGGCCGGGGGCCGGGGCCCTGGCCGTGGATTCGGACTCGGGGCTGCTCTCCCCGGCGGACATCGACTCGCCCACGCGCGATCATGAAGCCGACCCGCTTGCCAAGTTCGACTACATCGACGATGCGCTGCCTGGCGGGTCGATGCCAGTGGACCTGAAGGAGATCGTCGTCGAGTGCATTTGCCAGTTGATTCGGTCGTATGGCGAGCAGATGACCGGCGCGTGGGTGCCAATTTTGGCCATCCTGCGCGCCTGCTCGCGCGAGCGTTCCTGTGCGTGTCCAACTGCACAGGGGGGGGGGCGGGAGACCCAATGCTGCTGGCAGGCCTGTGGGCAGCCAGCCTGTTTTTCTGTTCCTTTTTTTTTGCCCCTCCCCCTGCTCGTTCTCTCCCCCCTGGGCCTTGTCGCGCCTTTTGTCCCCCCCCCCCCCCCCACCCCCCGCTCCGGGCTGCCGCAACCCCCTGGTGCCCGACATGGCCCCGGTCCCCGACTAACCATCCACCCTGGCACACCAGTCAACATCTTCAAGTCCGCCCATGCCGGGCTGAGCCTGGCCGTGCAGCGGCATTTCCTCGGCGTGGTCACCGGCGCCTCGAATGCCCCCCAACGCCACCAGTACACCGTGCTGCTGTCGGCCCTGACGGCCTTCGCCACGCCCGGGGCCCTGACCGACTCGCTGGCCGCGAGGTCCGGCTCGGTTGGCGTCCTGTCCGGCAATTACGACGCACTGGCCCTGAATGCCATCGGCCTGTTCCGGCAGATCTCCGTGCACATTGCCAACATCGATGCCGCTCGGCAGGAGTGGGCCATGGCCGGGGCGGCCAGCCTGCCGGCGCTGGCGTGCAATCTCTCCGGCAGTGGGTTCCTCCTGCGCTCGCCCGTGCATCGGGATCAGGCGCTGGCCGAGGCGACGGCCGCCGCCGCCGCCGCCGCCATGGCGGCGGCGGCGGCGCCCGGCGCGGCCGATGGCGGGGATGCCGACCTGTCGGCCTTCAGCCGGGCGGTGTGCTTCTGGCTGCCGCTGCTGGCGGCGCTCACGCGCGTGGTCCGCCGCGGGGAGGCCGATCCCCGGACCAAGGCCGCACATGCGCTCTTCGGCCTGCTGAAGAAGCATGCGGAGGACTTCTCCGCCGGCTTCTGGTCGGTGGTCATGCGTGCCATCATTCTGCCGCTCATCCGGCCGGCTTTGTGGTCGTTGGACCCGCCGGGCCGGCATGGCGGCGGGCCGGTGGCGGCGGCGCCGGCGGCGGCCGGGGCCTCCCACCCCCCGGCCCCGTGCGGGGCCGACATCGCCGAAGACAGTGCGGATCGTTTGGCGCGGGAAATCTGCCTCGCGGCCGGGGTGCCCATCCGGTGCCTGAACACCTCGACGGTGGCCTTCCGCACCCATGGCGGCCCCGGGTCGGGTGCGGCCTCGCCGCTGGTGGGGTCCGGCAGCAGCGCGGCCACCGCGGTGTCGGCCCCGAGCGAGCCGAACCTCTACCACCTGTCCGGGCTGTCAAGCCAGCTGGCCGACGCGGCCAAGAACTTCGACATCGAGTGGCAGAGCATGACCTTCATGTATCTGTTGCGCTGCCTGCAGGAGCTGCTGGCCGGGCACTTTACCCTGCGGCTGCGCTCGGACCCCGGCCTGTGTGATCGGGCCTTCCGCCTGGCGCCGGCCGACAATCCACATGGGGCCACCGGGGTGGCGCACCTGGTGGACATGTCCCTGGTGGTGGATGCCGACCGGCCGACTCTCGGGGAGGTGCTCTTCCGGCCGATCATGCGTGCGCTTTCCCGGTCGGCCAGTGCCTCCTGCGGGGCGGTGAGCACCCAGTCGGCGCGCTTTGCGTGCGACATTTGGGCCGGCATCGTCCACCGCCATGCGCAGGACTTCTCCTCCGGCATGTGGGCCATCGCCATCCAGCCCTGGGGAGCCGGGTCGTGGGGCGGCGTGTGCCACTGGCTGCTGGACAACACTCCGCGTGTGCTGTCGCAGGTGTCATGGGGTGCGTGCCCGATGCCGGGGCATCTTCCCGTGTGTTGTTTTTTGTTGTTTTTTTTTTTTTCCTTTCCGCCATTTCCCGCTTGTGGCCTTGTGAGGGGGGGTATTGGAAGGGGGGAAAAAAAAACGCCGACCCACTAACCCCCCTGCTGCCATGCCACCCCATGTGTCGGTGTGGCCGGCGCTTGGCATTCCCCCCCCCCCCCCCGATAGTCAAGCGCGAGATTGAGTTGACCACGCGTGCCTTTGCGTCGGATGTCCAGGCCCTGGATCCGGCCGGGGTCGAGCAGCAGCGCGCCGGGGCCGGGTTCCTGGCGGCCGAGCGCGCGTGCGCCCGGCTGTCCAACATCGTCGCCTCGATCGGGGACGTCTTCGTGTCGCCGGACCGGGCCGTGGTGTGGAACCACATCAGCACGGCGAATGCCTTCTGCCTGGTGACCTCGCTGCAGGAGGTTCGCCAGTGGCTGAGCGAGTATGCCCGGTCGGAGGCGCATGGCCTGGTGCGGGCCTTGCCGGGGACCGGGTCGCCGGGGTCGCCGGGCGGCGGGGTCCCGGGGGCCGGCGCGTCGGCGCCCGCCTCGCCGGCGGCCAGCGCGCGCATTCGCCTGCCCTCGCTGCTGGACCAGGACATTGCGGTCAATTCCGAGCTCCTGGCCCTGCTGCAGCGTCTGTGGCTGGATGGGCCACTGCGCGACCGGCGCCTGGGGCTGGCCCTCACCCAGCCGGACACCGGCGATGCCCCATGCCTTTGGGCCGAGGTGGATCGGCTGCTCATTGACCTGATGGTGGACCTGCTGGAGCGCTATTGCCAGCTTCACCGGACCACCCCGGCGCAGCAGTACCTCACCAGTGGCCTGCAGGGGTCCATTCCCGGGGGGCCGCTCAGCCGGTCGGGCATCCTGGCGGCCATGCGTCGCGAAGCCGCGGCCCTGGCGCCGATCATGATTCAGCAGGTGCTGGATTTCCTGCTTGCCGGGGCTGAGACGTCTTCGGAGGCCGGGGCCGGCTCCATGGCGGAGGATGCCCCGCGCACGGGGCGCACCTTCTTCCGTGCCCATGTGGCCCGGCTGTACCGGCCGCTGGTGCGTCTGGTGGGCTGCGACTCCGAGTGGACCCTGGCGCATGGGGACTCGGCCGGCGCGGCCTCCGGGTCGGGGAGCCAGTCGGCGACGGGCGACTCGTCGCCCGGCTCGCCGCACGCCTCCGGGCCGGTGCCTCTGCCGGCGCGCTTCCGGGCTCTGCTTGGCCGGGCCCTGCTGACGGTCGATGTGTTTGTCGGCATTTCGGCCGGTGCGGCCGGCACCGAGGACCATTAGCACGTCCATTCCCGTGGGAACAGGCGGCGCCTGCCGCAAGCCTGTGTCTTCCCTGGGCCGGCAGTGGTGGCGGGGAGGAGGGCCGGGCTCCGTCAGGAGGTATCCCTGCCCCTCTCTGTTTCTCTCCCTCCCTCTCTCTCTCTCTGTGTGTGTGTATCTCCCTCCGGTGCTCTGCCTGTGTACCTTGTGTCTTGAAATACAAAAACATGTAATCCCCCCCCACCCCTCGTGTTGTTGTTGTGTGTATGTGTGTGCCCCTTGTCTGGTGGTGCGTGTGAGGCTGGGCCGAGTGGCTGGCTGTCGGGCCCGGTGCTGAAGGCCTGTGTGATGCTCGCGTATGCGCCTTTGGTGGGCCTACCGGCCTGGGTGTGGCCACACGCACATGCACATGCGCATGCACACGCACACATGCACACGCACATGCACACGCACATGCACACGCACTTGCACATGCGCATGTACATGCACACACGCACACATACACGCACATGCACATGCACATGCACATGCACATGCACATGCACACACATACACACACACGCCGGCACGCATGCGCATCTGCATGCACACAGGTGAATGTGTCTGCCCAAGTCGACCACTGAGAGGTAATGGATGGACGCTCGGGCGCGCACTGCCCCCCGGAGCAGCATCGATGCCCCGCGCCCCGGGAACCCGTCAGCCGGCGTGCGTCACGGCAGCCCGCTCCGGAGGGCGAAAAAAAAAAAAAGAAGAATGACCCCCACACGGAGGGGCAAGATCGAGAGCGCCATGCGGGAGGAGGACCTCCTCGTGCCGGGGGCCGAACGTCTCGCCGACGCTTCACCCCGGAGAGCACCCTCCTCCCCCCAGGGTGTGTGCTCGCTCGCAAGGCCATCATGCCCCCCGGGGGGGGGGGGGGCCCCCGCCCACACGCGGCGGCCTGAGAGACCCGTGGCGGCGGGCCAGCGAGAGCCGGGGGAGATAAAACACCGACGCGCGAAGGGCAAAAAGAAGCAACCACACTGGGGATCGAACCCAGGATCTCTCGCTCCGGAGGCGAGCGTGTTATCCACTTCACCATGTGGTCTTGTTAGATGCTCCCGAAATCG